TAATAATAATAATAATAATAATAATAATAATAATAATAATAATAATAATAATAATAATAATAATAATAATAATAAAGTTGGAAGGGACCTCGGAGGTCATCTAGTCCAACCTCCTGCTCAGGCAGGAAACCCTATACCATTTCGGACAAATGGCTGTCCAGTTTCTTCTTAAAAACCTCCAGTGTTGGAGGACCTACAACTTCTGGAGGCAAGCAGTTCCACTGGTTAATTGTTCTTATCTTACTGTCAGGAAGTTTCTCCTTAATTCCAGGTTGCTTCTCTCCTTAACTAGTTTCCACCCGTTGCTTCTTGTTGTGCCCTCAGGTGCTTTGGAGATTAGCTTGACTCCCTCTTCTTTGGGGCAGCCCCTGGGATACTGGAACGCTGCTATCCTGTCCCCCCTGGTCCTTCTCTTCATTAAACTAGACATACCCAATTCCAGCAACCGTTCCTTATATGTTTTAGTTTCCAGGCATTTAATCGTCTTAGTTGCTCTTCTCTGCACTTTTTCCAAAGTCTCAACACCTTTTTTTATTGTGTGGTGACCAAAACATTAAGTCAACCTCAAATGGGCTACAAGACCAAATTGAATCCCACAGCAAATCAGAGGAATAGTTCCAAGGCGAGTCTGGCTCCCCAAAAGCTGGGATGGGGAACCCTGAGCTTCAGGATGGTCTTCTCAAATGTTGTGGGGTAAGTTCTCCATCAGTCTGTCACGTAGGAAAGTTACAACAGACGAGTTTCTATAGTCTTTTCCAGAAACCCTTTATTTGGTATTCTCTTCTTCCTTAAGGTTTCAGTTTCAGTGCAATCCAGGTCTTTTTTTTTTTCCTATTGTAAAATCCTGCTTTTCTTCCTTGCAAAAATGTTGTACATTCTCTTCCGAATCTGCTGGGTCTTCAGGCTGTAGACGATGGGATTAAGGAGAGGTGGGACCACAATGTAGATGTTGGCCATCAGCAGGTGGACCATGGAGTGCTGGTGCTTCCCGTACCGGTGGAGCAGACTGACGCAGATCATGGGGATGTAAAAAATGAGGATGACACAAACGTGGGAGACACAAGTGTTCAGAGCCTTGAGACGTCCTTGGCGGGATGCCATGCCTAGAACCGTCTTCAAAATCACAACGTACGAGGCGAGGATGATGACCACATCCAACCCCAACGTAAAAATGATGACAATCAAACCATACAAGATATTGACCTTAATGTCTGCACAGGCCAGCTTCATTACGTCAGGATGGAGACAGTAGGTGTGAGAAAGTCTCCTGGATTTGCAGAAATGTAGACGCCTAATCAGAAAGGGAACCGGGAAGGAGACAGAGATACATCGAACTGCAGCGGCTACTCCTATTTTTGCCACAACGGTGTTTGGGAAGAGATTTCGGTATCTCAGTGGCTCGCGGATTGCAACCAGGCGGTCAAAGGCCATGGCCACCAGAATGCCAGACTCCAGCCAGTGAAAGGCGTGGATGAAGAACATTTGGGTGATGCAAGCATTAAATGTGATGTCCTTGGAGTCAAACCAGTAAACGCTCAGCATGGTTGGGAAGGTGGACAGGGAGAGTCCCAGATCTGAGCAGGCCAGGATGGAAAGAAAGATGTACATGGGTTCGTGAAGGCTTCGGTCGCTCTTGATGACAACGAGAATGAGGCTGTTTCCAAGCAGCGTGGAGACAGAGAGCACAAACAGGAAGAAGGCCATCCAAACGTTCTCCTCCATCCCAGGAATTCCAGTCAGGACGAAGATTGGCAGGTTCAGGCTGCTGTTGTTGAACATTGTGACAGCTGACACCCTTCCTACAGGAACATCTGATACAGCCATGTTAGGAAGGTGAATAAAGACTGTTGTGTACTTTGGAAAATATCTGCAGTCACTTGAAGTAGGTGAATGTTTGAGTTTACTCAGAAAGGTTAGAACAGGAGAGCTTACGAACTAATTTAAAGAATGGAGCTCAGCCTGATCATTTGTTCAGTTTTGTCCTCCCAGGTCATCAGTGTCCTCTTCTTATTCTAAAACGTACTCCTGTTCCTTTTCTTAGTTCTTGGCACCATGAGGAACCTCGAGACCTCAACGTTTTGGGACTCCTGGTGGCTTTGAGTTTGGACTCAGAGTTTAAAGACTTCCTCTTTTAGCTAGGAATCAATCAGGTATCTGCCATCACATATCTCCTCAGCTCTCACCTGTAGAAAAAACATACCAGATCCATTACCTGCTCCTCACAGGGCTTGGTTTCCAGACCCTCATTTACCTCAGAACATAGAACAACCAGGTTGGAAGGGACCTTGGGGGGGGTCTTCTAGTCCAACCCCCTGCTCAGCAGGAGACCCTATCAGTTGTCCAATCTTTTATTGAAAGCCTCCAGTGATGGAGCACCCACAACTTCTGCAGGCAAGCTGTTCCACTGGTTAATTTTTCTCTTCTCACTGGCTGGCCTGGCTCTAAACGTGATCTGTCCTGGACACCACCGTTCAAAAACGGCAGCCAGGCAGGACCGCAAGTGCGGCCTGACCCACACAGAGTAGAGAACGACAATTACTTCCTCTGGTCTGAACTTTATCAGGATAATTACATGGGTTTCTGTCGTAATCTGAAAAATCGTCGACGCAGTATGACTACCCAATACAAATTGAAACCGATTTGTTCCCGCGTGGCTCTAGAGAAAGTGTACCTGGTCACGGGTCCGTCCCTGGAAGGGGGGTGCGGTCTGAACCCGAAGGTAAAAAGGATAGGTTTACGTGTTGGGGTTCCGAGATGTGGAGGCTGCCCACTAAGAGGATTTGGAAGTCCCAAAGGTGGGACTTTCTTCATTTTTTTCCCCCTTGAAGACGTTTCGCTTCTCATCCAGGAATCTTCTTGGATGAGAAGCAATATGTCTTCAAGGAAAAAAATAAAGTCCAGTTGCCTTTTGGAAAAAAACCCTTTGGGACAACCACGACCTGGATGATGGAGAATCTCCATAGACATACAGCATTTAGAAGCTTCACCTGTCCACACAACATAGCCTCCTGTACAGTTTTGGGCACACTAGGGTATATCCCTAAGTTAACTCACTACTCAGTGACTGTGCTGAAGACCCCTGTTCTAATCTATGTTGGCCAACCTTCTCCTCCCCCCCCAGAAAAAGGCTCTGAGAAGCCCCCCACCTTGGCCAAGTCCTAGTCCTTCCTTAGGCACCAAGCCAGCTGGGTGACCTTGGGCCAGTCCTCCTCTCTTAGCCCCAGGAAAGAGGCAATGGCAAACCACTTATGAAAAACCTCGCCAAAAAAACAGCAGGGACTTATTCAACAGACACAACTCAGTGGAAGGAAATCAAAATACCTCTCTTATTTCTCCATAGGCTCTCAGGAGTTCCCAACATCTATTCAGCCAGTTCCTTCAATATCCTGCAGGAAGGAGGGTCCTCCGGAGAACCTGGGGACTTGAAGGCACTCAAATTGGCTAGAAGATCCTTTTTTCCCAATTTGCACGCTCTCCTTTTTTCAGTATCACCGCAGTGCATCCGTTCACATAACCCAGACATGTAGCTACTACCTTGATAAAGATGGATGCAGGGGAACTCTTCACACAGGAAATACGGCCGATTTAAAGAGTGTTTGGTTACTGTTCTTGGAAGAGGCTGAGTCAGGATAAAGCCCTGCGAATCCCTTACAACTTAGCTAAGAAGCTCTGAAGGAGAAAGCCCTTCTCCCTGGTCCAGGAAGAGACCCTGCAATTTCCACCAGACAAGAGATTTATATGATGTAGAGAAGCACTGGCTGCTTACACCAGAGGAAACTCCTCTGAGAGTTGGTCAAGGCAAAGTTCTTGCTCCATGTAGTCGCTAAGGAATTCTGGGGACTGTGGGAAGTCAGCCTCCCCCCCCCCAGAGAAGGAAATATTAAAAGGGCAGAAAAATATATTTCCTCAAAGGATCTTAAAGAGGCAGAAAAGCATGCCCAGGTTTTTTTCTTAATAGCCCCAAGTCTCCCTCCCCCAAGCAGAAACCAGCTCTGTAGAAATGTAGATTTGATAATCCATTCAGGAAGGTTGAAGCTAGAAGATTAAGAAGACAAAGAGACCTAAAATCTACATACCCCACCCAAACTCTAAGACAGGACCTAGTAGGATTAACCCACAGATGCCAAAGGGACACACTCAGACTCAGGTCAAAGTGCATAACACAGGAAATACAAAGCCTCAAACAGGAACAGGAAACAACCTCAAGAGCCCCAGAGGGTATAAAAACCCACTCCCTACATGGGCTCACTCTCTTTTCTTCCAGAGCCATCTTCCTGTCTGGCTCTCCTCTTCAATAAACTGCAACCTTCTTTCTAAAGCAGTCGCCATGTTGTTTATTCCCAGCTTGGACTGAACCCTGATGAAGACTTTTCTTTCAACAGGACTAACAGTGGAAAATATTTGTAGCTCAGGGCTGGAGTGTGGGGTTCTTGGTGGTCTCTGAGTTTGGTTGTTTTCTTGCAGATGTTTTGTGATTCGACTAGGTAGCATCCTAGAGCCCTGGTAGGAAAGCGGTTAGAATGCAGCACTGCAGGCTGCTTCTGGGGACTCCCGGTGCCAGCAGTTTGGCAGTCTGATTCTCACCAGCTCAAGGTTGCCTCAGCCTTCCATCCTTCTGAGGTCAGTAAAATGAGGACCCAGGTTGTTGGGGGTAACAAGCTGACTCTATAAACTGTGTAGAGAGGGCTGTAAAGCACTGTGAAGCGGTGTATAAGCCTAAGTGCCATTGCTTGCTAAGAGGTATCCTCAGTGTTAGAAGGGAGAAGGGTTTGTGGAGTGGAGGAATATAGAAGATAGAACATCAGAGTTGGAAGGGACCTTGGAGGTCTTCTAGTCCAACCCCTACTCAAGTAGGAGACTCTATACCAGTGATAGCGAACCTTTTAGAGATCGAGTGCTCAAAAACTGGCCCTGCCCCCACTCCACCCCCTGCCGTGCCTCACCCCGCCTGCCCGCAGGGCCACTCACCACCTCCAGGGCCTGCCGCAGATCGCCCAGGCAGCCCAGCAGCGCCATGGCAGCCATGCCCTCTGCCCGCGCCCCGCAGCATCAACTGCGCACAATGGGGCGTGAGGGCAGAATCTTGTCTATGCTGCCTGGCTGCCATGTCCTTGGCTGCACTGCTCCGCATGGGCCACGCTCGGGGGCGACTCTCCTCCAACGGGGCTTCTGGTGAGGAAGGGGTCATGGGAGGAGGCAAGGCTGGGGCAACGGCACATGTGCCCACAGAGAGGGCTTCGAGTGCCACCTCTGGCACGCGTGCCCTAGGTTCGTCACCACTGCTCTATACCATTTCAGATAGGTGGCTGTCCAGTCTCTTCTTAAAAGCTTCCAGTGATGAAGCACCCACAACCTCTGCAGGCAACTTACATTCCACTGGTGAATTGTTCTCACTGTCAGGAAGTTTCTCCTTAGTTCTAGGTTGCTTCTCTTTTGGTTACTTTCCATCCGTTGCTTCTTGTCCTGCCTTCAGGCGCTTTGGATGATAGCTTGACTCCCTCTTCTTTGTGGCAGCCTCTGAGATACTGGAAGACTGCTATCCTGTCCCCCACCTCGTCCTTCTCTTCATTAAACTAGACCTACCCAATTCCAGCAACCATTCTTTGTATGTTTTAGCTTCCAGTCCTTTAATCATCTTTATTGTTCTTCTCTGCCTTCTTTCTAGGGTCTCACTGTCTTTTTTATATTGTGGCAATCAAAGCCAGATTCAGTATTCCAAGTGTGGTCTTACTAAGGCCTTATAAAGCGGTACTAACAATTCATAGGATCTTGACTCTATGCCTCTGTTTATTCAACCAACGTTGTGTTGGCTTTTTTGGTATCTGCAGCATACTGTGATGCTCTCTGAGCTTGGTGGTTTTCTTGCAGATGGGAGAGATGGACGAGAAGGTGAATCCCCCAAACTCCCAGCTCTTTATCGAACTTCCTGGCTGGGTTCACACAACACAGTGGACTCGGGTTAAGAAAACGCGCTTGCTGGGTTCCACCAGTCTGCCCTGCCCAAAGAATTCAACCTTCTCCTGGCCTTGCCTGATGACCCGGCTCTGACAGCAGGAACAGAGCTGAGTTTCCCCCAACCCATCCACTGCCCACTTGCGCCATGGTCCTGTTGAAAAGCATCCTCAAAATGGCACCAGCACCCCTCTGATCCTGCCCCAGTGGTGGGATTCAGCCAGTTCGCACCACTTTGGCAGAACCGGTAGCTAATTTTTTGATGCCCAGGCCCAGAATGGACTTCCGGAAGAAGTGGCACCCACATAGAGAACTGGTTGTTCCCATATCTGAAGCCCACCACCCTCCTGCCCCCAAGGCTACAAGGGGCACCAGACTCCCAGGCTGTGGGGAGAGGCACCCCAGCTGTTCCCACTTCTTGGTTTGATCCTGGCTCCTCACTCTGGCTCTGGCACCAGAGTCTTCCTGCGAGGAAATGGGATCCAGGACGAGGAAGATCTTCACGACATTTTTTGTCCCTGAAGTTGCCACCTGGCTGGTGAACAGTGGGTGGGTTGGGGGGTCCCTTCCTCCACTAGAGAAGGTGAATTGACTGGGAATGATATGCAGGGGGGTCTACAAGATTTGGGCTTTTTCAGGAATCATCTAGAGTCATCTCTAGACGAGATGGGCAGGAAACCAATGAAAGAAAGAAAGAAAGAAAGAAAGAAAGAAAGAAAGAAAGAAAGAAAGAAAGAAAGAAAGAAAGAAACAAACAAACAAACAAACAAACAAACAAACAAACAAACAAACAAACATTCTTCTAAAATAATGAGTGGATTGTTTTATTTTGAGGCCGAGCTCTGACTTGATGAGAACTAAAGCAGAACCAAAGATCCTGGGAGAGGGAGACCACGTGACCCAGCATGCACAACAGTGCAGTCCTACACATGGGTGTTTCTTTGGTGGAACTTCCTTTGATTCTGCTTGGCAGGCAGGAGAGCAGCAGCCACAACCAGAGGGCCTCTGGTGCCCCCTGCTGGCAGCGGAAGAGACTCACTTTCAGGAAGGACTTCTCAATGATGATGGGAGGCATCCTAGACCTGCCCTGGCAACAAAGATGGAGGAGTTTGGGGGGGGGGAGAGACCAGAGGATCCTGATGAGGTCCCCAGACTGGCCAGCAGGGCTTCTTCTCCTTGGCACTCCTCTTCCTCCTCCTCCTCCTCCCTCCTCCCTTTGCCCCCAAAGCAGAGAGAGACTTACCCAAGGGCAGAGGTAGGCGACCTTGGCTCTTTTATGACTCGTGGACTTCAACTCCCAGAATTCCTGAGCCAGCATAGCTGGCTCAGGAATTCTGGGAGTTGAAGTCCACGAGTCATAAAAGAGCCAAGGTCGCCTACCTCTGCCCAAGGGGGTGGCGACAAGAGATGGGGCCTTAAGAGACCTGGAGCACAGATGAGTTGGGGGCCCTCAGGGGACTGACAGGGAGCAATTCCAGGTTTGTTCACCCATCCCATGAAATGTAGGCCAGGAGGAAGCAGCAGAGACCGCCATCAGAGGGCTATTTTCATGTCAGCAAAAACAGAAGATCCAGGAAAAAAAGGAGTCTCCAGAAGAGTAAAGGCGTTGAGCCCAAGGAGTCAAGAACGACAGAAGGAACTACTTCTGAGCAGTTTATTGTTGCTCTCCTAGAGACGGAATCTTGCCAGGCTAAAGCAGTTATACACATAACTACTAGACATACCCTGTGAACTGCTAGGGAGGGTCCATCTGCGCCCCCTTTCTGCACACCAAAGACCCCAAGCTTCTTGGTCTCTCTGCTCGCCGGGAAAGAACCCCTCCCTCTTGCGACTCTGGCCCACTGCCCACCCCATCGGGGCAGTTTGGGTGGGAAGTCGCGATTCCTGGATCCGATTTTGGAAAGAGAGATTGTGGCCTCTGCCTAAAGGTGCCACGAATCCCAAACTGAACGGGAAGCGGAGGACAGCAAATCCTTATCCACGGAGACCTTTGCTCCTCCCTCCCTCCCTCCTGTCAATCAGTAGCATCGTGGAGACCTGGGTTAGTTAACACAGGGGTCCTCAACCTTAGCAACTTTCAGACTTGTATTAGAACAGTGGTTCTCAACCTGTGGGTCGGGACCCCATTTGGGGTCGATCGACCATTTCATGGGGGTCGCCAAGCAAGGCTGTCCGCCATTTTTTTTGTCCGCCATTTTTTTTGTCCGCCATTTTTTCCCCCCTTTTCCGGCGGGTGCCTTACCTCCCTTGGGCTGGGCCAGCTGGTGGTCGGCCTGCTCCGTCTCTGCTGCTTGCCAGCTACGCGTCGGCCGGCGCAGGGGGCGGAACCACGCATGCGCGGCGCTCCCGGGCAGGGAAAGTCCTCGACTTACGACCGGTTGGGTAGTCCTCGACTTACGACCGGTTTAGTCCTCGACTTACGACCGGTTTAGTCCTCGACTTACGACCAGTTTAGTCCCTGACTTACGACCGGTTGGGGTCGCGGCATTAAAAAGGTTGAGAACCACTGTATTAGAATGTTATTGTTGGCATATTATGTGTATTTTAGAAGGGGTACCCGAAGTGCTAATAATATGTTTATTCAAGATTAAATTGGATTATGACAATTCTAAATCAGTAAAGCTTAAAAACAGGATTTGGATCTATATAGATGTAAGGTAGAAATGGATTGACCTAAATATGTTATACGATTTGAGGGAAACAGAGAGGGAACATTTAATGAATTAATTTGAGTTATATATATATATATATGATTTGGATGATTGATTACCCCATCACCACGTGTTTCTCAAGCACTTTGATGTAAAAGTTAAAAAACCAATAAAACGTGTTTAAAAAAAAAAAAGACTTGTGGACTTCAACTCCCAGAATTCCTCAGCCAGAAAAGCTAGTTGAAGTCCACAAGTCTTAAAGTTGCCAAGGTTGAGGACCCCTGAGTTAACATATGATTCCTAAATAATATTATTAATAGTTATACACATTTATAAATTCTTCCCACAACAGATTAGTGAGCGGGGGCAGTTGCAGTGTCCCTGAGGTCAGTTGAAAGGATGGATAGATGGCCAAGCCAATCTGAACTGTGACCACATGATCCTCTGTGTGTGTGTGTGTGTGTGTGTGTGGGTGGGTGGGTGCTGCTACAGGGACCCTAATCTTGAATACAGGTTGTATGTTCTTTCTGCACTCTTTATTTGCAGCCCACTGAAGTCTTCAGTCGACGATATGAACAGGAATCAACAGAAGAGGGTCCAGGTAACCAAGCAGGAGCTGTTGGGATACTTGCTCTGCCTGTCTGAAGAGGGAGGGGGCTGGCAAGGTTGCCAATGCTAGTGCCTTTCTCCGGCACTTGCTTTGGGGCACCACCACCACCACCTCACCCTGCCAGCCTGCTTCTCCTGCCTCTGCTAACCCATTGGAAGCATGGCCAGCCAGCCAGCCAGCCCAGGTTTGCGTTCAGTTGGCGCAGTCTCCCAATGGATGGTAGCTCAGTCAATCTGCTCAGGGGGCAACTCTCTGCTTGAAGACACCTTGCCAGGTTCTCAGAGTTCATTCTAAGTGGCCATGACAGACTCTTTCCTTCCCAGGAGACCCTTAACGATCTTCGTGCGGATCGGTTTGGTTTTTATACTGTAGACAATGGGGTTCATAAGGGGCGGCACTAAAAGGTAGACATTGGCCATGAGGATGTGAACCACCGGAGGAGCATTTTTCCCATAACGATGGATCATGGAGAGCCCAATCATTGGCGTATAGAAGGTCAGGACAGCACAGATATGGGAGATGCAGGTATTCAAGGCTCGGAGACGTTCTGCCTTAGAGGCTTTGCTTAACACGGTTTTGAGGATCATAACGTATGACAACACAAGCAACGTAGAGTCCAGAACCATAGAAGACACCACCACCATCAAGCCGTAGACGCTGCTGATCCTTCGGTCTGAGAGGGTCACCTTCAGAATGTCCTGGTGCAAACAGAAGGAATAGGAGAGGACGTTGACCCTCCCGTACTCCAGGCGCTTCAGGAGGAAGGAGGCTGGGAAGACAAGGAAGGCAGCTCGAAGGGCTACCCCCGCCCCAATCTTGATGACCGCCTCATGGGTCAAGACACTGGTGTATCTCAGAGGGTTCCAGATGGCCACCAAGCGATCAAAGGCCATAGAGATTAGAATACCCGACTCAAGAATGGAGAAAGTGTGGATGAAATACATCTGGACCAAGCAGGCATCAAAGTGGATCTGACGGTGGTTGAACCACAGGACACTCAGCATGGTGGGCAAAGTGGCGAAGGACAAGCCCAGGTCCGAGAGGGCCAGCATGGACAGGAAATAGTACATGGGCTCTTGGAAGCTTTGGTCCGTCCTGATGACGAAGAGGATGGTGCAGTTCCCTGTGAGGGCCACCAAGTACATGGAGCAGATGGGGAGGGAAATCCAGAAATGGTGTTTTTCTAGCCCAGGAAAGCCTGTCAGGAGGAAAATTGGGGGGCTGGCAGTCTTATTAGAAGAAGTCATAATGCTGTCCCAAGACATGCCGCCTGCAGTCTTTGATGGGTGCTGTCAAGGAAATATATATATATATATATATATAAAAGTATCCTATGATAGGTAGTGACTCTACAGCAGGGGTAGTCAACCTTGGCTCTTTTATGACTCGTGGACTTCAACTCCCAGAATTCCTGCGCCAGCTAAGCTGGCTCAGGAATTCTGGGAGTTGAAGTCCACGAGTCATAAAAGAGCCAAGGTTGACTACCCCTGCTCTACAGTATCAATCTACAGAGGTCACTAATATTTGGACACCGCCACGATAGCACAAAATCACTTGATTTATTACACTGACGTACCCCCTAATGATTCTGAGAGCATTCTAAAGCAGGGAGAGCTAAACCCAAAACTCATTTTCTCAAACCCCCCAAATTCATTTTATTAATGGATGTGTTGCCCATCACAACTATCCCATAGCAATTTAGAATGCAAAAAGGGAAAATTAAAAAGTGCCTTGAGCTTTCCATAATAAGTAGAAAGTGGATAGCTTTTGTTAGCTGCATCTTAAGACCAAAAGATATTATTGTATCAAGGTTGGCATCGCCTGTTTTTCCTCACCCTGAGAGGCAGTTTGGGGTTGTGGTTGAGGGATCAGGCTGGGTACCTGGAGACCAGCTGGGTGACCTTGGTTAGTCCTCCTGTCTCCGCCCCAGGAAAGAGCCGAACCTCTTTCTCCTTGTCAAGCAAACTTCCAGGGACTTGTCAAGATTGGACATAATTCAATGGAAGAAGAGAAAAGTACCTCTCTTATTTCTCCAAAGGCTCTTAGGAGTTCCCAACGTCTATTCAGCCAGTTCCTTCAATATTCTGCAGGAAGGGGCGTCCTCTGGAGAACCTGGTGACTTCAAGGCACTCAAATGAGCAAGAAGGTTCTTTTATCACATCTTTTCTGGTGTACCCTCTCATTTCTACCTTATCAGACTCACCACAGTTGATGGAAAAGACCCTGCAATTTCCACCAGACAAGAGATTTATATGTCTTAGGGCAGCACCGGTTGTTTTCAGCAGAGAAAACGCCTCTGAGAGCTGCCCAAGGCAACCTTCTTTGTCCATGTGCTCTCTAAGGATCCCTGGGGACCAACTGTGGGGAATCTCTGCAGCTCAAGGCTGACCTGTGGGGTCCTTGGTGCTCTCTGAGCTTGGTTGTTTTCCTGAAGACGTTGCATGACCCAAACAGCCAACAACTTCAGTGCTAGCTAGAATTCTGGAGAGCCCAACTAGTTATCAGGCTATCAGTTGACTGGAAACACTTAAAGCAGCAGACAGAATCCAACAGATTTTGATAAGTGAGTTTATTGCAGAAAAGCTAGGAAGCTACTACGGGAGGAATCTGTAACTGCTGTGTCAAATGCAGGCGCCCTTTAGAATGAGAGGCTGGTACTCCGTGGCTTAACGCAGCTGGAGATGATCTTTGCTCCGGCTGTTTGAGTCCTACATCACGTGATGGAGTGAGTTCCCACCACTTGCCTCCACTCCTGCCCACCTGGCTGTTTTGAAAGCACGATACACGCGAGTAGATAAATAGGTATCACTTCGGTGGGAAGACGAGCCAGCTGCCTTCGTGCAGATGGCCAGAAGCCTGCTGGCTGGTGCTGGACGTTCCCGGATGAAATGCCCACTTACAAGGCGACTCCAGTGGAGAGTGAAGGCCCCAGAGGACGGTCTTTTTTTCTGGTGTGGAGCTAGCTCGCCCCCTGTGGTGCACCTTGGGAAACGCACATGCTTGAACTGAACGGGTTAGCAGGCAGTCGAACTGTTACTCTGCATTAGCATTGTAGTCTTCTGGCGAATGTAACGTCACCGTACGCTAAATAAATAATAAACGACTTAAAATGGGGTTGATCTTCAAGGTCTTACTACTTTAATGTTCACAAGATTCACAGATTCAGTGGCATTGAACAAGCTCTGAGTACAATCCAAAGCAAAACTCAGAGAATCATTTTTTCAAAGAATGTTTATCGGAGAGAAGACATCCGGAGGACAATAGGTTAGAGAAGAGCCCCCTTGACCCTCCAGAACAACCACATGCCACTTGGGATCAATAACCTGTGAGGTGCTACAAAAAGTATGGCGGGATGGGAGAAAGTGGGAGGGGCTGAGGAGAGTCCAGGGAGGGACAAGGAAGGGCCAGGAGGGAGAAGTTCTGCTTCTCCCCCAGAAGTTCTGTTTCAGGAGGAAGAAAGCGGAGACTTCTCAAGGGAGGACAAGGAGATATGTGGGAGTCCAGCAGGGCACCCACAAGCCCAAGCAGGAAAGTCTTCTGGAGAGTCCCAGCCACAGGAGAGAGATGGGCCTTGGCCCAGCATCTGGAGACCTGCTGGTGCCTCCACCACCTCTGAGTCCATCGAAGGCTTTGAGCAAGAGGGACTCCAAGAGCCCCAGATTATACTCAGATCAGGAGGGAGACATTAATTCCCTCCTCACCCCTCAGGTGGGAACCCCCCGCATTTCTCCCTCTGACCTTTTTTGTGGAAATGCTGATTATACCTAAGACAGTACATTGTGATAGCAACTCGTGGGATACCATGGTGATGCCTCTTGGAACCCACATTATTTAATATTTTTATTAATGACCTGGATAATGGGGTTGAGGGGCTTCTTGTCAGATTTGTGGATGATGTAAAATACTGATGTTTGGGAAAAGGTTGAGGATGACTGAATTTAACCTGGACGGTTGAAACTGTAGAGGTTGGCCAAGAGGAACCAGATGTCTTTCAACAGCAAGGAAAATAAAGTATTAAATTTGGGGAAAAAAGATATTGCAGGGATAATAAAAAAAGGAGGTGTTATAGCTTGGTAACCTTGTATTAAAGAATGACATGGATACGGTGGTTGACAACAAACTGAACTTGAGCTGGCCATGTGAGCCACTGCAGTTCTGAGATCTGTCAGAAGAAACATCACATCAGAGACCCCTTTTCTGTATGGGAGAGACCACCAGGGAAGTAACCTACGTGGTTCTGGGTGTCTTGTTTCCAGAGGGATATTGAGTGATTAGAAGACATTCAGAAAAGAGCAACAAAGATAATAGAAGGATCTTGCAGATATGCCCTGTGGGAATGAAACGAAGGAATAGACAATGCTGAGTCTTAAGATATGACCTAGCCACGTTGTGGAACCTCTTTGAGAAGAGGTTGAACAGACACCTCTTGTGGAACATAAATTGGTTTTCTAGCTCACAACATAGTAGATGATTCTCGTGATCCCTTCCAACTCCATAGTTCTCCATGAACTCTTATGGGGTCCTTGGTGCTCTCTGAGCTTGGTTGCTTTCTGGCAGATATTTCATTACCAAATTAGGTAACACCATCAGTGCTAGATGTGAGTGTCCCTAGCATGGATGATGTTACCTAGTCAGGTGATGAGGTGCAAGATGAGGTGAACCTCTGCAAGAAACCAACCAGGTTCAGAGAGCACCAGGGACCTCACAGTTCAGTCGTGAAACCTATGTTCCCTACACTTGTGAATGTGACCTGATCCACAGAGAAAGTCTCTCTGAATCTTTTGGAAGACTTGACCTGCCTTTCATGGAATTTTAGAAAATCATATTTAGTACTAAGAATAAAAACTTCTAGTTTTCGTGTACCACTTGAGGAAAATTTGGATGATCTTGTCTCGAATTTGCTTGGTTTTTACACTGTACACAATGGGGTTCATGAGGGGTGGCACCAGCAGGTACACGTAGCCCATAAAAACACGGACAAAGAGTGGGGAATCCTTCCCAAACCTGTGTATCACAGTTAAGCCAATCATTGGTGTGTAGAAGAGCAACACTGCAGAGACATGCGAGCCACAAGTGCCGAGAGTTTTGTGGCGGTCTGCCCGTGACGCGATGCCCAACACGGTCTTGAGGATCACCACGTAAGAGAAGAGGATGAGGAGTGAATCCACCCCCACTGTGACTAAAATGACAAACATGCCATAAATGATGTTGACGGTGATATCCGAGCACGCCAGGTTCATCACCTCCTGATGGAGGCAGTAGGAGTGGAAGAGGAGATTGACGCAACAGTAGCGATGTCTTCTGAGAAGAAGGGGAAATGGCAAGACCAAAGCCACCGCTCTGGCCACAAATACCAGGCCCATCTTCCTGATTCTGGGCATGGTCAAGATGGCGGCGTACCTGAGGGGGTTGCGGATGGCCACAACGCGATCGAAGGCCATGGCCAAGAGCACAGAGGACTCCATCAGTGAGAAGGAGTGGATGAAGAAGAGTTGGGTGAAACAAGCAGTGAAGCTGATCCTTCTGGCGTTGAACCAAAAGACGCCTAGTATGGTTGGTATGGTGGAGATGGATAAACCAAGATCTGTGATAGCCAGCATGGAGAGGAAGATGTACATGGGCTTGTGGAGGCTTTGGTCTGCTTTGATCACCAAAAGAATAACGGAGTTTCCCAAAAGGGAAATGAGATATATGGCGCAGAACGGGATGGAGACCCAGGCGAGGTTGGATTCCAGACCAGGAATCCCCGTCAGCCAGACCACCGATGGATTCCGTCTGGAACTGTTGAGGAGTGCCAAGGAGTTGAGGGCGGTCTCAGGAGCACCTGGCATGTTCCTTCAGATGACGGATGGTGCCTTTTTGACTCTGAGCATGGAGAGTTGAGGTTGGGACGGACCCAAAGAAACATTTGGGGTTCCTCCTGACATGCTGCCTTTCACGTCTTGTTGGACTTTGATCCTGAGAACAACCAGAAAGGTGGATATTAGTTGGGATGCATCCCTGGAAATAACATGAACATATAGGCACACATCCAAGGAAGGTGTTAGCTAGATTTCCTTTCGATGCCAAGATTTCCTCCAGCCAATTTCTCTTTCTACTTCCCTGTCGATGTTCTCAGTTGATGTCATGCTACGTGGGGGAGACCTTGGGAGATGGGCTGAACAGATGCTGCCCAGGACATGGGTAGGTGAAACCCTCCCGGTTCCTCGGGTTGTTCTTTCAGACTTGCAGGGTTCTGTTACTGTAGTTTTGTGACCAACTAGCCCTAATCTGGCCGTGTTTCTTGTCTGGTCTTATCAGGCTAAACCCAAGAATAAGGTAGAGAAATTCCTGCAGAGGTCAGTTCTTTCTTTGCTTACACACAAGGGACACAACCTTGCCAGACTAAACCCTTACTTGCTACTCTCACCCTAATGGGTTTCCGCTTGGAAATTCTAAGGAGTGAATAATAATAATAATAATAATAATAATAATAATAATAATAATAATAATAATAATAATAATAATAGCAGAGCTGGAAGGGACCTTGGAGGTCTTCTAGTCCAATCCTCTGATCAAGCAGGAGATCCTAGATCATTTGGGACAAATGGCAGTCCAGCCTCTTTTTAAAGGCCTCCAGTGATGGGGCACCCACAACTTTTGAAGTGATGGTTTATTGCCCTCACTGTCAGGAAATTTGCCCTGAAATCCAGAAATGTCCACCATTTAACGTACTGGGTTCCAGTTGCAAGAAGGCAGATGCTGGCTAAATGCCGGGACAGCATCCTGGAACTGAGAGCAGCTGGATGACGGGAGCCCTAGAAGAGAAGGTGGATTCTTCCCTGTGTTGGAGGCACACAAGCTGCCTTCTCTGGGGATAAACTTGGGTGTCTGCAGGGCGTGGGAGTTTGGGCTCAGCCACCCCCCCTTCCAGCTTGAAAAGGCTAGAATCTGCAAGAAGGGGGTCCCCCTCTGACTCTAGGGCTGCCATCCCTCCCTCACAGACCCCCCCTCTGGTTTCAATCGGGGCCCTCAAAGCCCCATCCGTCTAACCTGAATATGTGGATTCGTTGCACCAACTTCATCCAGAAGTTCAAAATCAGTCAATTGCTGGCTGAGCTCCAGAGACAGAATCCTCAGCCGGTCCAAAGGGCTCCGTGCACAGAACACGCAGAGTCAGAAGAGGGCTGACCCAGGATGACGCTGACCAGGCTGGGCGTGTCGCACGGGTGCTGTGGCTGACCTGCACACAGACCTTGGTTTATAAAGGGTGGCTTGTCTTACCTGGTGCTGGCTGAGGGGTGCTCAAGAATCCTTCCTCAGAAGCATTTCAAAAGCTGAGATAAACCGGTCCCCCCATGGTTGGCCCAGCCGTGAGCAAAGGGATCTATGCATCTCCCTAAGCCATTCACAGGGGGGCTGCTTGCATTGCTGAGCCTCCCCCCCCAGACTCAGTGGCTGCCTGGACTCCCCCACAGCTCCTGGCCTCATAGAGGGGCCCTTCCTTGTATGCAGCTTCCCTTCGGTGAAACGAACTCACTGGCACAGCGGTGATTCTCTGTCAGTCCTCCTCTGATTGAACCTTGGCATTTTCCCCACCAGAAACCCCCACCAGGCCAGCTGGGGGAGTGACCCGAGCCTTCTTCTTCTCACCAGGCTGATGCTTGACGTGTCCCGGACAGCTTTCCAGGTTCCTTGGTGGTCTAGCTGGGAGAGAAGACTGGAGAGATGCTGGGTGGATGGATTCAGCTGCCTTTATGAGCCTCTCCTGGTCACTGGGGCTTCCTTGCCCTCCAGGATCTCACCGCCCAGACACAGAATGCAGGTCTCCTGGCAAGGGCAACCGGGCACCACAGGGAACACGGGTCACTTTGCCCTCCCCTGTCAGGATGGGTGATGTCAGAGAATAACAGCCGTGGAGAGCCGTCTCCTCCCTTGGGTCCACCAGGGCTTCCTGTGGTTCTCCCACCAGCCTCAGGAGCACCAAGGCAGCCTCAGTACCGGCTGAGTCAGCCTCTCTTCCTCCTGAACGCGGAAGGACAGAAAGGCTATGGACACTCTGGGATGGGGTGGGAGGGCGTTCAGATATATATTCTCTGAGCAAAATGTAAGTTCACCTAAGATCCCAAAAGCGAACGGTTGAGGCCACACTTAAACAACATCAAGCCCAGCCAAACTACCTTGTTGATTATGTCCCCGATGTTCCTGCTGCACATGCCTTGTTTTGGAATACTGGGCTACTTGAACTAAATCAATTCAGATGATCCTAAAGAGTCAGGATCCCAGAGCATTTATTGAGTTAGTTTAGGTAGGTTGGTATCCACACCTAAGGGTTCCTCCTCAAGTCAGGGATCTGGTTTATTGTTGTGTACCTATCTTTAATCTTTCTTTTGGGACATGTCTACGTAGAATTGGTGGAATGGTTTCCCATCATCTTTGGGCAGCTCAATGACTCCTGATCTCTGAGATTCTTCCTTTCCAGGATCAGGGACCTCCTCAAGACTTGACCTGCTTGATGCACCTCACAAGAAGCCTGTGAAATTAAAGGAAGGTCCCCCCTTTTCCCTTTCAAACTCCTGAAGGACCAAGGGTCCCGTGCGCTGTGAGGACCACCTTCTTTTGCTGTCTTTGTCTACCCACCTTACAGCTGGGGGTAGGGGTGGAAGGGGAGAATCCTCGTGTCAGAGGGAGCAGAGGAGGAGGAAGAGGAATGGCAAATGTGTGGGGACCAAAGCTCCTTCATCAGAGATACCTAGAGCTTTATCCTGAGAGAGACTCCTTACTCACGGTTGGGATGGTCTCGAGAGCCCAACTAGT